GGGGGGGGGGAGGGAGAACGCAAGTGGGGTGCCCCAGCCTTGGGGGCAGAGCAGCACCCGTCGGCGGCAGCCTGTGGAGGTCGGATGCTCCCTTTATCCGTAAAACAACCCCGGTCGCCGGGGCCACCTCTTCAGCTCTAACCTCCTGGCCCTGATGGGGACATGGTGACCCTGTGCCACGACCGTCCGTGACCCAGCCCCAACTCCCAGTTTCAGGGTCTGCAAACCCACAATATGTGCTGATTCGATGCGTAAGGATGTCGGGGGTTAAAACTTCTTTTGCTGCCCCGGTGGGAATCGTTTTGCTCTCAGCTTTACCCCTGTAGTGAGATCTTTTTTTCATTTTTACCTATTTATTTGTTTTTTTAACAGATCCGGGTGTACATGGGGGCATTCGCTGCTGATTTCAACGAGAACGCTGACCTCAGCGCCCTGCGGTTTCTCTCCGTGAACTCCATCGTGGACCCCTGGGTCTTCATCATCTTCCGCACCTCCGTCTTCCGCATGTTCGTCCGCAGGGTCTGCCGGAAGCTGAATTCTCGGAAAGCCAGCCTGAAAGGGCCCGGCCCCGGAGGGGACGGCCAGTTCTGCCCCCTGGGCTGGCGCAGGACAGACGCCCCGCAGCTCGGCTTCCCCTGAGCGCGCGGGTCTTGCAGAAGCCGGCGGCTGCTGGTGAGGATGAGGAGCGAGCCTTTGGCCCCGCGCCCCCGCCCCAGAGCATCCCGGGGCAGCAAGGGGCTGTCGCAGGTGGGGACGGCGTCCGGCTCACAGCGAGGGGTGGGCGCGAAGCGTTTCTGCCCCCTTCCCTGAGGCTGCGTTTTGCCCCGGAGGGGAACCCGGGGGGGGCTCCCGGGTACCTGTGAATATTTCTGAGCAGCAGCACTTTGTGGAGGGTTTGGGGAGCGCCCGGCTCCAGGAAAGCAGGAGGGTTTTGGCATGTGGCTTCAGGGCAGCGGGGACGCGCAGGAAGGAGAGGGGTGTGTGTGTGTGTATCCCCGTGAAATAAAAGTGGTTCGGAGCCCTGCTCCATCGCCTTGTCCTGTGCATGATCCCCTTCCACACCGAGGGGGGTTATCCGGGGCTGGTTTGGGGTGTCCCCGGCCTGGGCAAGGGGGGTGTGAGGGAGCCTTTGGGGGTGTGGAGGCTCAGAAACTTGAGCAGCAACTCACGGCCACGCCGAGGGGCCGGAGGGCAGGCGGGATCCCTCCCTGGGATGCCCGTCATGCCTCCCTGGGACGCCCATCGTCCCTCCCCGAGATGCCCATCACCCCTCCCCTAACCCCATATCCCAGGAGCGGGGCTGTGGTTTCTCCGCCGTGGCTTGCTCTTCTCTCGAAAATTGATTCCTCCAGGCGCTAATGTTGCATTTGTGTTACTCAGATGGCTACCTGTCCTCCTGCGATTATTTTGATTCGGTATTTATGATGATCCCGAGGCCTAATAAGAGCAGTAATTGAGAGAATACAGAGCCTGAGATTTATAACCTCATGGTGCAAGCATGCAAGCAAATGATCATTTTAGTGAAAGATCCATTTCCCCTCAAGCACACATATTAACTGGATTTAATATCTGCCTCAAGTGACCATTTAGGCCAAAAAAATTACGATGACCGAAGTCCCCATCTGCTTAGTGTCCTTGGAGGAGGCAGGGCAAATACTTCTCTCCCTCTATTTAGCTAAGCCTTGCAAGGTGTAGTTGTGTTCCTGCCAGTTCTCACGTGATACTTACTCTCGTTGTCAAATGGATTCTGTTTTTGAAGGAAGAAACTCACGCAAATCTATCTTGGGGCTTTTTGGAGGTGACCTGGTTGGGTTGGCTCTGGCTGTTTGACCGGCCCGGCTCTCCTGGCTGGAGAAAAGGGCAGACCTGTATTTGGGGATGTATTTGGGGGACCTGCAAGCTCCCTGCTCAGTGCCTCTCATCAGGGTTTTCTAAGGAGAAAGAAATGAGATGAGGGTTGGTCCGCATATCGGTTTCATGTTACCGGCGTGTTATTGACTTGGAGATGGTTCATGTGGGACCGCAGAGTCAACAGCACCGAGCCTGCGCTGTGGCTTTCACCGGACCTGTTTCACCGCAGCAGGATGATGGCCAGGTGAGATAACGGCTCTGCAAAATCTCGCTGTTGCCCCCCCCTGGCCTGGGATCTCCTCCACCGTATGGATCCACGCACCGCTCAGGACAGACGGACCAGGCACGGCCAGGCTAGGAGTGTGCAGCAACGTGAGCCGTGGGTCCTCGGTGTGTGCCCAGGATGGGACAGGCCATCATCTTGCCCCTGACCCCAACAAGGATTCACTCCTGGAGAGCCTCCCAGGAGAGGTCCCTGCCCCACGATATGTGTATTTAGAGCCCAGGGCAACCATGCTCCATGGAAAGCTGCAATTAAAAAAAAACCAACAGGTTCTTTAATTAAGGTGGATGAATACAGACTCCATCGGAGCCCTGAGGTGATGCACACACCACGGTGTCTGACCCATTCATGAGTTTATCATCAGAGGAAAGAAATCATGGAGCCACTGAGCACGGCGGGGGCTTGCAGGCTGCGGGCGTGACCCCCCTGTCCCTGCATTGTCCCCGCTCCCCGGCTGGGCCCGTGCGTGTCCCGGCGACCTTGACACGCTCATCTGGCTTCGGTAGCGCTTTTAATCAGCATTCTGCCCTTACTGGTGCCCTACCTGCCCTGGGAGCAGACTTGGAGTCTCCAGCCGACCACCGCTGCCTCCCGGTAAGCCGAGCTCCGGCTGCAGCCAACAAGGTTTGCACTTGCGGCTGAACGCCAGGTCGCCCTCCGAGCAGATAAATCGCTCCTCGGTGTGCTTCTGGGGCCTGGGACTGCCGTATCGCCGTCCTCTCCAGAGATGGCAGCACGTTCCCAGCCAGGGCTGGGCTCCGAGCTGCCCTGAGCACGCTGGGCACAGCCGCTGCGAGGAGGGGGCTGCCACTCTCCACCCCAAGTTGCTCCCTTGGGTAACCCACTTTTTAATGCCCAAACACCTACGGTTTGGGGCTTCAGGAGTTACATCAAAGCTCAGAGCCCCTTCCTATTACTGAGCTTGGAAAAAATGAAAGTAAAATAAAATAAAAATTAAAATCAAAAAAATCCCTGCAACATGCGGTTTAGTCGTAAATGTTGCTAAACAGGAACCAAAATAGCCCAGAGGCTCAGGGCTCTCCGGCCAAATGCCGAAGAGGTGAGAGCTGCTGTGCGAGCCCCCCCCCACCCCGACCGCATCTTCCTCCCAGGCTCCTCGCACTGCTCAGTCATTCCCCGCAGGCCCCCTCCGCGCCAGATTGCTCCTGTGCCAGCGATCCTCAAAGGGACGGACCTAATGCTTAATGAAGGCAGTAAAGAGATGCTGCTTGGCTCAAGGCTGTGGCTCACACCAACGATGCTCTTTTTGGAGCTGTTGCGCCATGCCCGCTGCCCTCCGACACCGCCGGCTGCCCTGTCCCATGCTCGCGGTGTCACTGGTGTCACCAGCATCACCTAATCCTGCATCCCGCTCCTTTCCTGGACATAAATCGAGCATGGTCAGGGTTGGGTTTTTTTTTTCCAGCGCGTGAAATCCAGGCACAACTTCGCACAAGCTCATTTCCCGGCAAATTGTTTAGTTCTTGCAAAGAGCCCTTTTTTTTATTGTCTGTCTGCATTTTTCAGCCATTCTGGAAGCAGGAAGGCACGTGCCTGGGCAGGCAGCAGTGCCAGGGCTGCCAGGCAGCCGAGCCAGGGCGCTCAGCCTGCAGGGCTGTAAGACACAACCAGCCAGTGAGCGGTTTGATTTTTTTTTTTTTAACCCATGCACCCAGGTGCTTGCACAGGACGGCAAGCCAAGGCACCGAAACCTGGACCTGCCGCGCCGGTGCTCAGCCCTGCTTTTCCAGGGTGGTGAGGGAGGCTGCTGGCAGCACTGGTGCACGAGATAAGGGACGGGGCTGGGAAGGCTTTGGAAGAAAAACGATGTCTGGCTTTGCCAAACGCAAGGCAGGTGGGTTTTTGGTTTAAAAGGGTTGAAATCCACCCATGCAGTCCATCCCTCCACGCACAGGAGGGCTGGTCTCCTCCCTGCCCGCGGTGCCGAAGCTGTCCTTGAAAACCCACCAGGGATGGAGCAGGATCCCGGCGCCCTCCCCAACCATAGGCAGCAAACTCCAGAGTTTGAGTCCTCTTGGCTGCAGAGTTTATATGAAATGCAACTTTCCTACAAGCCCAGAGTTTTTTCTCCAAGTGGGCCAACCCCGGAAATCTTCTCTTAGGGAGAACAATGCCAACGACCCTTGGGAGGACACATGGTCCTCATTAGAGGCAAGACACCCGAGATAAACATGGAAGCAAAAGGAAGAAAACAAACACTTTCCAATAAACAGACTGTAACAAGTGGCATGATCCTGGTTTTGAGCTCAGAAGGGGGAGAAAAAAAAAAAAAAGCCCAGCAATTTTCCTATTACTGCAAAAATAGCCCATCAGAGGCGACTGCCGGTTGTGAAGCCTGAAGCCCCAAATGGGTATTTAAGGCTCCATTAGCTGCCAGGAAAATGAGCTCCAGAAGGTGCCAAAGCCCCTTCTCGAGCTGTGACATGAAACACCAGAAAGGAGCGGGAGGCTGGGAAAAGTCTCGGAGCAACCACTCTACGGGGTGCCTTCTGCTCGGAAAAGGTCTCCAGATGAGCAGACTGCAGAGCTCCGTAAGAAGCTCGGATGGACCAGGCCAGGATTCGGCCTCAGCTCCATTTTTAACCTGTTTTTTGAGGGCACCACAGAAGGCTGAACGTGCCAGGGTCCCATCCAGCTCTCGGGAAGCCAACAGCATCGCTCCCACCATCGGATGTGTCCACATGCTTCGGTGTTCTGCTGGATCAGGTCTGCAGGGCTGGGAGGGGAGTTAAAAGAGGTCCTGGGACGTGCGTTTTTCTGGCCCACCTGCGTGGAGGGTTAGTCTGGGAGCCAGCTAAAACACCTTCCCCTCTGTCACACCCATTGCTTCAGGCGTGGAAACGGGGAGGGCTGGGGCTGTGGGTGCCCTGCCACCGGCAGGGTGACTGCACGTCCTCCCCGCCGCGCTGAAGAAGCCTTCGAGCTGCATGACGAATGAAAACAAAGCAAGGAATAGGAGCAGCCCGTCAGAAATGGAGGTGCTGTCACAAACCGCAGCTCACCCGGCCCTGGAGTTTGCCATATACCATATTTCCTTTACGAAGTTCCTGTTACAAAAGCAAGGTTTTAAAAAAAACAGCCAAAACGCGCTTGTGGCTGCGACCTGCCGTGTCCATGCTAGAGTCGATTAATGCTGCGCCGTTTCACTGGGGTTTGGGGGGGACCAGAGCCCTTTGGGAGGACAGTTTCCCATTAGGTCACGGATGAAGGGCTGCACCTGAGCTCTGCCTGGCCCCCAGCTGAGCCGGGTCCCAGCTTGGAGGCCAAGGGCAAAGGCTTTGCTCTCAGCAAGGTGGGGAGAGGATCGGGGTCATGACTGGGGAAATGCTACGCAACAGTGAGAGCTTCCTGTGCCATCTGCCGAGCCCGAAGCCCCAGCAGAAGGAGTTTTCCTGGAGCTGGTATTTGGGGCAGATGAGCCGCGCTCAGCCAGGCTTGCAGTGGGAAGAGGGGTTCCCTCCAATGTCCCGTCCCCCCCCTCCACGCCCCACTCATGACCAGACTCCGGCTGCAGGCTGCACCCCCCATGGGGATCTCCAATGACATGTAGGAAAGGGGGGCAATGGGGACATGGTGTGGGGCTGGGCCATGGGGCAGGGTGTTCTCTGGGGGCTCCGGGCACCTCTGGGGCCATGGGGGACCCACCCGCACAGCCCAGGCTCAGCTGCGGCTTCCTGGTAGCCCGCCCC